CGCGCATGCATTTTCGATCCCCATTGTGGTTTACAGAAGCGCGAAACAATGTGAACGGTGTCCACGATAGTGTCGGTTGAAACGACGCTGCTGTGCTGATGTCCATTCACCTTCTCCCATTTCAATTCCTTGCAACCTGTCACGTGTTCCCGTTCACTGTCAACCTCTGTGTACCACTGCACAAAAGGGCACTTGTATTCCATATTACCGCCGTCTGTGGGTGCGTCGACGACGAAAAACATGGCCACTGATGCGAACCACGTACATTCGTTGGCTGCTCTTATTGCGACGTCGCTGTGCACTGGTCTCCCGTGGAACCGCGGCGACGCTCGTGCAGTTTGAACAAGTGTGCCCCTGTTTGTTCCGTCCTGCGTGCAAGCGATGGCGAGATGTGTTCGTGTGTGTATAGCGAGATCATCAGGAGGAGGTTGACAACCATTCTCCGCCATGTACGTCGTAATTGCTGCTCAAAAATCGGTTCTGAAAGGGAGTTCTTCAAGTATCTTACACGCATGACTGTCAATGCCTTCCACCTCGCATATCTGGTCCTGATCGATGTCGAACCAACGCAGTTGAAGGATTGACGTATCGCGTAGTGCCAGGGTGTTCATCCCCGTTGCCATACAGTCCGTCACAGAAGACCTATTCTCGACGGCACTCTTCCTCCTTTTCCTCACAAATCCGGTCTCCTCTTGCAACGCCAGCGACCGGCGCACGTGGTTGACCATCTGGGTTGACGCTTTTCTTTTGTTCGATGACATGTACGGTTGTTTGCAGAATCTCCTGTGGTGATGCTCCCAAACGTCTGCAGCGAATGTGTCGGCCACATCAGATCGCTCAATACTCGTTCTCATATGCATAAGATCATGCAACTTCAGGAGTTTCCAATTTGATGGTTGGTATCTTCCCAATTTCGCTTTGATGGTCGTTATGAAGTCCGTCATCAACGCGTCACATTCGTCGAGGGAAGCTCGAGTGTGTGTTGTGCGCCGAAACAACCGTACGTACATTTGCATCAGCTTAACAAAACAAGCGGTAATGCYCTTGCCKGTCKAGCGCRGGATTATATTAAAAATGAGGAACACGCAYAYTGTCATCACAGACCGGTTTTGCTTCGCCTCGAAGCGTCCCTCTCGAGAAAAAAAATCGCTGCCTGTGGCCACGGGCAGCACAAGTTGGGGATATGTTCGCGTACATCTCTCACTAACGCATTGGAATCTCGCATCGAGTTCCTTCAGGATCTCTGTTTGCGGTGTGTTGGGCAACTTCTCAAAGGCTGCCGCCCTGAATGCATCGATCATGTGCAGGAATATGCCGTGTTCGATCGTGTGTGCATACGGTCTGGTTGCAATGCGAGGTGGTAGTCTAGCTGAGGATCATCGTCACTCGGCCCCCTGTAGAACCCCCAAAGGCCGTTCTGTTCAACATGCCTATGCATGTCCAACTCCGCCATTCGCCCTTCCCCCGCACGGCGCACGTCATCGTCGTCCGCCGTGAACACAGCTGCTGCGAGTTGAGTTTCCAGCGTCTGGGATCTCCTGCTGTCCGTGAAATCGGCCACGACATCGAGGTCCATTTTCGACACGGTGCATGTAGGGCATACACCAAACTTCACATTCGCCAGCGCACATCGCTCTGGGTAGTCCTGTATATAGTTGAGGAGGAAAGGGTGGACAGTCACGTCCCCGAATCACGTCGACGGTATCGTGATGCCATCGTGCGATGCCTCCTTCGCAGCTTGCAAGACCGTCGAAAGGGCCTTGTGGAAGATGACGGTCTTTCGCTTCCTGAATGCGGTGGACTGTAGACCCCATCCTTTGTCACGGGGTCGATGATGAAGCACGGGAAGATAGGCCAGCAGAGTGGCTTCCGACGCGTGGTCGGCTAGCGACATCATAAGAGGGTATGCCGTCTATTTCTGACGACCGTCTGTGTGTGTCTTGTCGGAGTACAGTGAGAGAGGGATTACATATCGTGAATATCCATTCTCGTCGACACCTTTGTGCGCTCGAATGATTGACTGCGTCTGATAACTGAGCGCCCCGCTGCGCGGACCGGATACACTGTTGTCCTCCGACGGCGGGGACACCTCGAGGGAATGAACCGTCTCGCATTTCTGCAACGCGACGTGCATTATCGATAAGAATGCAGTTCGCCAATCGCGGTGCCACAAGACGGCGTGCGCTTCTCGAGGCCAGTCGTCATTACGCAGATCCAACTCCTTCCACCCAACGGCCTCTGCTAGACTGCTTGCCCATGCGAAGCACTCTCGACTGTTGCAGTACGCAATGTCCGTCGCGTTGAATCTCGGGTCTTTGAGAAGTGACAAGAGAGCATGAACGTCCGTATGTGACATACCGACGCCGCCCCTGGCGGAGAAAATAAGCGCTGCTAGCCTGCGCGAGCTGTCAAAAGGCTCGACGGGTTGCGCTGCCGGCTCTGCGTTATCACCGGCTGCCCCATTCGCGTCGTCCTCCGCCCCCGCGTCCTCGCTCTCATCACCAACGAGATTGGCTGCRCCTATGTTGGATGGTCCCGGGTCGTGGGCAGCATCATTCTCCTGCCTTTGCGCTCCCTCATCCGCCACGGCGGGGCATGCCCTCGCACGATGCGAGTTTAAAGTCCGTAAGGACATGAAAGGTCTGCCTCAGTCGCACACCCGTGGACCGCTGTCCATTTCCTGTGCACGCAGTGCATTCCAAAGACAAACAGAGCGAAGCGGACAGTGCTTCGTTAGCATGTTAGACATATGGTCGGGGCATGTGCATTACATAATGCTGACCATGTTTTCTTATGCAGTGTGAGTGTTGCACGTTGTGGAAAATGCGTCTAAGCATGTGTTTTCCACGTATCCGTCGTAATCAGTGAGATTGCCCATACGAGCCAAGCTCTGACTCACTTTCCCGGATGTGTACACTACCTTCAAGATAGAGACTTGAGATCGGGCGAGGAGGAAAAAAAAAAAAAAAAAAAAAAAAAAAAAAAAAA